AATACTACTCAGCCATAAAAAGATGAAATCTTGCCATTTGTGACGATATGGATGGACCTTGAGGGTATTATGCTAAGCAAAATAAGTCAGATGGAGAAAGATAGTTACCATGTGACTTCACTCATATGTGGAAGATAAAACAACAACAACAACAAACAAACACATAGATACAGAGAACAGATTGGTGGTTACCAGAGGGGAAGGAGGGTGGGGGAGAGCAAAAGGGGTAAAGGGGGTCATTTGTACGGTGCTGAATGGTAACTAGACTTTAGGTGGTGAACACAATGCAGTCTATGTAGAAGTCGAAATATAATGACGTGCACCTGAAATTTATATAATGTTATAAACCAATGTTACCTCAATAAAAAATAAAATAAAATAAAAAAACAAGTTGAAAAGTAAGGCGCATTGTGTGATTGCTTTAAAAAGAAAAAACCAAGAATAAACCTCTATTGATTGAATAAGCAAGTATGAAACAGGATTGCTTAATAGAAAAAAAAAGAAGAAGGGATGTGCACAAATACTTGTGAATTACCTAAGTCTGGGTTTCTGAAAGGGGCATCAATCAGCTAAATATTTGTTCTTAAAATGTTACATTTGTAGCTGGAAGAGCATGATTTTAGCTATGTTTTACTAGAAAGTCGCTGTTCCTTTGAATTGCTATTGGAGGTGTCTGTCATTTGAAGTCAGTGTAAAGAGGTCATTTCCCTAAGATTTTCAAGGTTCACCCTCAGACACATGACACATGAGTAAGGCAGAGAGAACATTTTTCTAGCACCAGTGTACTGACACATTGGCTCATTCTTTGATTCATACAGTTATTCAATAAGTATTTAATGAGCTCCTCCAATGTGCTGGAGCATGAGGCTGTGCCAGGTCCTAGGGAGGGGGAGGTAAATAAGGGCCTTGCCCTAACAGCTGACAGTCTGCCAAACAGGGACAAGCTCTCACGTAAGGTACAGTGTGTGTGCAGCAGTAAGGTGATGCCAGTAAAAGTGTGCCCAGAGGGCGACGGGAGCCGTTCCCCAGGGATGAACACTCGGAGGGCAGAGAGGTGGTACACAGCAGTGTTGAGGAAGGACAAGCCCAAGGCCAGCCAGCGCGGGGCGGGAGATGCTGTGGATCCCCCAGGCCAGCACATTCATAATACCAGATTTGGGCCCAAGCTCATCAAGATAAATATGATAGAGAAAACCTCAGTTAACCAGATTGGTAGCAATGCTGTACAGTCCCTCATAAAGATGGACATTTATTTGTTTATTTTTTATTGTAGAAAATTTCAAATGCATGTAAAAGTAGACAGAATAGTATAGTGAATGCCTAGGATACTTCATGCAGCTTCAGCGATTATCAACACATGATCTATTTCATTTTGTCTCTACTCTCCCAATGGATTATTTTGAGGCAAACTCTAGGCATTATTTTATCTGTAAGTATTTCAGGATTTGTTTGTGATAGATTGCAAAGTACAGCCACAAATTCCTTCCATTCTTGAATGTACCTTTCTTTCCAATGTGATAAGGCTGGTCCTCCCATCCAGAGGGGGGGAATATTTCCCTACCACTTGAATCTGGGCTGGGCTGGGCTGGTGACTTGCTTTGACCAATAGAATGTGGCAGAAGTGACACCATGTGATTTCCAAATTGAAGCTTCAAGGGGCCTTGCCCTTTCTGCTTCCACTCCTCTGGAATGCTGCTGCACAGACACTGCCAGGTGACAGGATGCATTGAATACATATCTAATAACCTCGGTGCATGTCTTTTCCTAGTTTTGATAGTGCACCTTTGGGTTAGATGCCCACAAGTTGGATTGCTGGGTCAAAGGGTAAATGCATGTGTAATCTTGCTAGACCTTGCCAAACTGCCTCTGGGAGGGTGCCATTTTGCATTTTCACCAGCGATGAGTGAGAGTGCAGAAGAACTTTTTTTTTTGGCAGGAAAAAATTTGCCCTGAGCTAATATCTGTTGCCAGTCTTCCTCTTTTTTTTTTCCCTCCCCAAAGCTCCAGTGCATGGTTCTATATTCTAGTTGTAAGTGCTTCTAGTTCTTTTATGTGAGCTGCCGCCACAGCATGGCAACTGACAGATGAGTGGTGTGGTTCTGTGACTGGGAAGTGAACCCAGGCCACCGAAGCAGTGAGAGTGCCAAACTTTAACCACTAGGCCCATCAGGGCTGGCTCCAGAAGGACTATTTTTTAATATCATTGAAGTAAAATGGTTGCTGCTTTGGCGAGAGTATAAACATTCTTCTGATAGAAAATGTCAAAGTAATCACAGACAGATGGTTTTATGGGCAGGGTAATTAGATGGAAACGCTGATGATACATATTATGAGGAAGAACAATGGGTGACTTGGAGGATGCTTGTTATCTCTGCAGCAGACTGTAGCCCCATGAAGGGTCTCTACCTCTCAGTCTCTCAGCCATTTGTGCCATGGATATGGTTTGGGCATATATTATGAGCAAAGCAGTCTGATGTGAGAACTTAAACAATGAGTATTAAAAAGTTCCCAGACTCTCTGGGCCTAGTGTTGAGGTGAATAAACTCTTGCTATACCCCTGGGTTGTGTTGTGATGTTCCATTTGCCTTACTTCATCCGGTAGAGCAGCATTAATTGAGTCTATAAACAATTTGTACATGCTTAAACAGATCGTATAATTTTTTCCAGCAATTTAAAGATAAAATATCTTGTTGGCCTGAAGGATATCTCATCTCCTTTTACCTTCTTTCCCCTAAGTGTACTGTTTCATTCTTTCCCTGGTTCTGTTACCCACATAGGGACAAAAGACAGCCTGAGCTTGGGAGTTTGGGGTGGAAGTGGGAGATGGAAAGGATAGATTTGGGGTGGAGGTACAAAACACTGGGGGACGGTGGGTCGGTACTGAATCAGCTTCTTGGGTTCTCATCCTCTCTGATCTCTTACTGGCATTTTCTTTTCTTAGCTTTCATGAAATGTAGCCTCCTGGCTCTCCACCCACTTCTCTGTCTGCTCTTGCCCTGCATGCATTGTGGCCCTTCCAAGGCCCTGCTCCCCAGTCCCTGGTCTCTCAGTACACATGCTTTTTTCCCTTGCGCCAAAGTTTTGTATTTTAATGTGTAATTAAGTGCTTTTCTCCAATTAGGAAATGTAAAGACTTACAAAATAAGACCTTATATATTTGTAAAAAATAAAAACAAAATATTACAAATTTGTGAGCAATGACATTTCATACAATGCAATGAAGGCACAGTAACCAAGATACATAGGCTTTGAAGGTTCTAAACGGAAGGACTTTTTTCCTCCTAGATATTATGTACTTGCAAATCCTTAGGATCCATGGCACAAAATCTGTTAGCCTTTTTATTTAGAGATAATCTCAATAATGACAAAGATAAACCAACCAATTATCTATTAGAAACCATTCCAGCTTTGTTCAACAAGACGCAGACTCCGTTCTGATATTCTCATTTCTTTTCCTGGTAAAGCTGTGTTGCACAGCTGTTGGCCAGACTGTTTGGATTTGATTCATTCAGCTCACTTGCCTACATTCTACTCTCATGAAAGCCAGATCTGTGTCTCGTGGTAACAGCAGCTGTGGTCCTGAGTCTTCATTGCCTACCCAGGATATTTCCAGCGGATGTCTCATTATCACCTTTAACTTAACATGTCCCCTCGGATTGATGCTAAGTGACCTAGTTCTTCAATCACAGCATCGTTTTGAAGTCTAGAAATCTACTTTTTACTCTAACTCATCTCTCTACTTCATTTCCTATTTCTAATCATGAATCACACAATATCAGAATTGGAAGAGAACTTTCAATGTAGTCTAGCATCCTATATCAAGTCTTTTTTGTTATGGTTCTGTACCTTCTCTGGCTCTGCCCAGTTTGCTCTGTCTGTGGATCAGCGTGTGGGGTCTCTTCTCTAGTCAATGGGAACCTTATAACATGTGGTATTTCGGTGACTTCCTCCTGACAGATATCTAATAACACTTCCTACTAGGCAAACAGTCAGCTTTGAGGCAAACCAACGACATCACAAGAAAAGAAAACTCAGACTAATATTCCTTATGAATATATATGCAAAAATCTTTAACAAAAAATTTTCATATATTGATAGCAGGAGTGTAAAATGGTGCAACCACTTTGGAAAACAGTTTGGCATTTCCTCAAAAACTAAACATAGAGTTACCATATGATCCAGCAATTCCACTCCTGGTGTATACCCAAGAGAATTGAACACATATGTCTGCACAAAAAATTGTACATAAATATTCATAGCAGTATTATTCATAATGGCCAAAAAGTGGAAACACCTCAAATATCCATCAATTAATGAGTGGAAAGAAATAATGTGACATATCCATGCGATGGAATATTATTCAGTCATAAAAAGGAATGAAGTACTGATACATGCTAAAACATGGATGAACCTTGAAAACATTATGCTAAGTGGAAGAAGCCAGACACACAAAAAAGCCACATACTGTATGACTGTATTGATATGAAATATCCAGAATAGGCAATCCTATAAAGACAGAAAGTAGATTACTGGTTGCCAGGGGCTGGGGGAAGAAGGGAATGGGGAGTGACTTCTAATGGGGTGGAGTTTCTTTTTGGGGTCATGAAAATATTCTGGCACTAGATGGTGCTGTTGTTACGCAATCTTGTGAACACACTAAAAAACACTTTAAAATAATGAATTTTGTGGTCTATGAATTATATCTCAATAAAAAAGAACTGTGTATGGAATAAAAAAAGAACCCTTATAGTGACTAGCAGAAAGTTTCGGACAAGTGGATGCTCAAATAAATATGAGTTAAGGGGTGGATGGCAAGAACTGCTGGAAATCTTGTTCTAGACCTCAGATACAGCCATCATTTGTTGAAATAAGACAGGAGCTTCAAGTAACTTACCCCATGTAATCTCCAAGAAGTTGTGTCCCAGAAGTTGCTTTCCGTTAGGACTAAATTCTTCCTTTCAAACTCTCCCTCTTAAGCATCACTTTAATTTTACTTTCAGCATCAGTATGACAGCCTGTTCCACAGTGGCTGCCCTGGGGATGATGCCGCTCTGCCTTTATCTCTACACCTCGTCCTGGAATCTTGAGCAGAATCTCACCATTCCGTATCAGAACATAGGTCTGTATTGTGCTCGTGAAGTGGAATAGTAACAGTGATGGTGATGGTAACAATAACAGCTATTGTTTACTATGTGTCTCCTTTATGCAGGGGTTTTTATATATTATCTAATTTAATTCTCTAAATAACCCTAAGGTGTAGACTCTATTACTAGTTTCATTTCCTAGTTTTTCAGGATTAGAGAGGTTAAGTAACTTGACCCAGGTCATGCCACTGGTAAGTGCGGAACTGGAATTCTCACTCGGGAATCTGACTGCAAAGTCCAAGCTCTTTACCCCTACAAGAGTTCACTTTTGAAAATAAAGCCCGAAAACTTGCTTATTTAAAGAAAAAAAAACAACCCTTATACAATTCACTATAAAGCAATTGGCCTCATTATGACCCAAAGGTTAACTGGATCCCAGTGGCTCCGGTGAGACCTTAGTTCCCATAACCCACCTTTCGCGTTGCCTGTAAGCCTTGACTTCTTTACTGATCCACATAAATGATTCCCATTGATATTGAAGCGTATCCGTGTGTCACAACCACATCCACATCTTTCATTATCTCCTTTCCTAATGTTATTTCTCATTAAACTGCCCTTTTTCTAGAGATCTCTGTGGACTTACTAGGCTAGGAAGAAAAACTTGGTGAAATGATCTGCCTGTTCTAGTTTGGTCAGAGTCTGTAGAGAATTGGTAGAAACATGATTCTTAAAACTCTGAAATGTCAATCTGGGGAATCAAACCAGGCCCTGGAGGCCTTACAACCCGTGGCCCATAGTTCAAAACCACGAATAGAGCCGTCTCCTGATAACAGTTGGAGCCCATTGAATTTGTAAAATTTGAGTGAAATCTTGATTTAGAAATCATGATTTTGTAAGCAAATTTTTCTGATCAGTAGGTTATTTAATATATTCTGTTTTGATAATATATTCTGTTTTGATAATATATTCTGAAAGGCTCTTGTAAACAATTAAACCCCAAAATGTTATCAGCAACACATATAACTTTGGAGCCAGTATTGCAGGCATTTGGCCAGATTTGAAAAGTGGCATTGGAAAATGTCAGTGTATGGATCCTACCAGTGAGTTGACCTCTGCTCTCTTGAACCTGCCTTCAACGCCTTTATTCACTTGTGTTAATTAAAGGCATTTTTTTCTACCTACCTTTGGGTTATCTGGCTACACTTGGAGAATATGAGAAATTGCTTTGGTATGTGTAACAAATGCTATTTTTATGTCTGTAATAGGTATTCTTTACCTTGTGAAGCAAATGACCATTGGCTTCAAACAGGGAAAAAATAGCTGTGGCTATAGAGTGGTGACCCCAACCGTAGAAATCAAAGAATTTCACAGACATAGAAGGGTCCTCCTGTTCTATAATCTGTACATTTCCCATTGTGTCTGAAATACCATGTGACTGCCAGGGGGATTCAGAGAAAATGATGGACCAGGTTGGTAGCATTCAGTGGTATCATATGCCCTTCCATGACTCTCTTCCAAAGATTATTTTTCTTAATTTTTGGAGGTGGATGCAGAAATAAAGTGCAGCTTTAATTAAAGCTTTTATCTAATTGAAATAGAAATTGTTGGGGGCGACCTAGTGGCATAGTGGTTAAGTTCATGTGCTTCGCTATGGCGGCCCAGGGTTTGCAGGTTCGAATCCTGGGCATGGACCAAGGCATCATTCATCAAACCATGCTGTGGCGGCATCCCACATACGAAATGGAGGAAGATGGGCACAGATATTAGCTCAGAGCCAATATTCCTCAGCAAAAAAAAGAGGAAGATTGGCAATAGATGTTAGCTCAGGGCCAGTATTCCTCACACACACAGACAAAAAGAAATAGAAGTTGTTGAGGACTGGGCAGTTAGGGTGAGAGGGAATACTGTCTGACAGGTTTTTCTTCTCTTCAGGAATTACCCTTGTGTGCCTGACCATTCCTGTGGCCTTTGGTGTCTGTGTGAATTATAGGTGGCCAAAACAGTCCAAAGTCATCCTAAAGGTAAGCAGCTCCACGTGGCAGGTAGCACATTCTTAGACTCAGAGATTTGACAGACAGACGTAGGCAATGACTGGAACAAAGGGGCCAGTTGCACACAGCCCTACAGGCAGCAGTTTTCCTTATGTGTCCTGCGTTTCTGGATTTAACCTCCATATTTCCTTCCTTTCTAAGCCTTGCTCCGTCGCTCCCATTGGTCCATACACTGAGGCTTATCACACCCTGGAAAGTATGGGACTCTTGCTTTAGATACAGAGAAGCCAAAGCCTGTGTGTGGCCCGAGAGAGCCCATTCGTTCACAAGGCTTCAAATAGGTCGCTCTCAAGGTGAAAGGTGTGTGTGAAATGGAGTTTCAGGATTTAGGCGTATGGCTGGTTTCATGGAAAAGTAGGATGAAGAGCTGTCTTCCAGAAGCATTCCTAGGGGAGCTTCTAAAATTGTAGTTTGTACACACGAGCAAGGGCTGCGGACCACATGAATAACTGTCCAAATGAATATTTGAACAGAACAGCACTGAGGAGTCTGGCCATGGAATGACAGGAACTAGAACCTCCTACCTCCTCTCGCCTTTCCAGGGTTGTCTTTTTTCTGCTGGAGACACAAGCACACGTCCTTGTTGAATGGCTTTTAAAAATATCTGGCTGGAGAGGAGGCATTCTCAACAATGATGTCAGTCTCCTAGGGGGTTTTCTATTTTTCCAATTATGTGTTTTTTAAGAACATCTAAGATTGTATTTTGTACTGCTTCATGAAGACTTTAAAAATGTTTTAGTTATATTTTACATTTATGAAGAAATAAACATTTGGGGCTAATTGGAGGTTCAGCAAATACATCTCAGTTATTTTAGTTAGGGGTTTGTGGTTTGGTTCAGTTAAGCTCTCAGTGTTTGGCTCTACCTGACAGAACACCTCCACTCCATTTGCCTGCACAAATGGATGCTGCTTTCCTAGTTTGGCACAAGACTGAACAACTCACACCATTCCTCCAATGAGGGGAAGAGTGAGAGAAGAGGGACTGACAAGCAGACGGATCAGCTGGGCACAGAGAGCTGGAGGAGGGCTCACATGTGCTTTTGGATTGTGTTTGGGTAGCTTTAACATCAGTAGTGCCCACTTGATTCCACTGTCTTTTCCAGTTATACTCACGGAATAAAGTCCCTTCTTTTCCACATTCATTATTTATTATTTTGGTAGGAGAAAATTTCCAACGTGGCAGTGTACAATTAAAATTTTGTTTCCAAAACAAGAGGAGAGAGGATGATCATGGGAACCTCTTACTTTTCAAGTACCCTATCTTTGATTACTTTTCTTAAAAGGCCATCTAACAACAACAAAAAAAAATCATGATTTCAGTGTTTCCAGATTCTCTATTAGTCTATCAGTGTCAATGGAGAAACTAGATAAATTTTCTGCATGTCAGTTTTATTATTGGTAGAGAGCAGATTTAAAACTCCTTCCCTTTGGCTATTCCATAGGATTTGCAACTGAAAATATTTAACAATATGCATAAATATTCTAGAGCACCTTAGTAAATAAGTAGGATAATTTAATCATTATTTTGGTATGTTTTAATTCTTTGTTCTTAGTCATCTTTTAGTTTTAGATCTGATACATTTTCTGAACAAATTGCTTTCGGTGAATTTTAAACTTGGACATCACTTTTTGGTAGAAAGATCAAGAGGGATTTTTACAATCAGAGGCCTTCTTTGTGTGTTCCAGCATCTTCCTGTCAGGCAGGGGCCCAGTCTGTCCCTGTATTTGAGCAGTAAAAATGACCCCCAGAGCACATTTATGGTGCGTTGGGTGGTTTTTGTTTTGTTTTGGTTCCCCATGACCACCTTCCTCCACACCTTGAATCATTTCAAATCAAGGTTGATGCTGTAACTAGGTGCATGGTTTGCTGTCTACATGGTGTGAGTGGGAGCTTGCCAAGATCCTGAGTTTCCCCAAATATTCTGCGTCTCACTTCCTCCCTATCTGATCTAAAACTCAAACCATTGGAAATTTTTTTTGTTGATTTTTTGTTTCTGTTAAACAACAAAAGTAACAGACAGTATTCATTTGGGAGAGGAAAGAGGTATCTGTCAGTAGTTCTCATATTACATTAATATTAGCTCAAATTGTCCAATGAAGACTGGGTATATTTCATTTGGAGGAGAGAAGGGCAGGGATCAAAGCAGTAAGAAGCTGTTGGTGGTTGAAAGGGTGATGGGAAGAGAGTGGCGGATGGTCAGGCAGGGCAGATCTCAGACAAGAGGTTACCAGCGAGGGGTCTCAGAGGTGTGTGTGGGGGTGTTGGATGCTTATTGTCAGATTTCACTTGTTTCACAAATTTATCCTATCCATGAAAAACTCCACTATCCAGTCCTTCTGGCCAAATCCTCTACTTGAAGGGAACAGATTCTGATCATAAAATAAGAAGACTTAGATTTGTGTTCAGACTCACCAGTTTCTGGCTTAGCCAAGTCACTTGACCACTTTGGACCTCAAGTTTCTTCTCTGTAAAATGAGGTTGGATTTGGTAGTCTCTAAGTCCTCTCTTTGTTCTGAAACTTCTAGGTTTCAAGCCTGTTAGATCACTGATGGACTTTGCATCACAGAGCAAAAAGACCATGATGCTGACGTGCACTTATTTCATTGTTTTGCTTTAGATTGGGGCCATTCTTGGTGGGGTCCTCATTGTGGTGGTCGCAGTTGCTGGTGTGGTACTGGCGAAAGGAACTTCGAATTCAGACATCACTCTTCTGACCATCAGTTTCATCTTTCCTTTGATTGGCCATGTCACGGGCTTTCTGCTGGCGCTTCTTACCCACCAGTCTTGGCAGAGGTATAGTTAAATTATCCATAAACTTTTTTGAGGAGGATAAAGTAAACACACTGCCACCGGCAGGCTTTGCTGCCAGGCAGGCTGTGTCAGGAGACGTTATGAGTTTTGACTTACAAGGTGGATGGAACAGGACAACTCATCATAAAGAGAGTGAGAAGACCACAGTACTTCTTTATGTAAATGAAAGCAAAGACCAAATTGATGGGAAGTTGTAATTTGTGAAATTAGGATTGGCGTGCTGATCCACTTGTTGAAATCTGGACACATTTCTCATCTTAGTCTAGTAACTAAATAGGAGAGGTGAGATGGCTTCACTAAATATATAGATCATTCTAGGGCATGAGCAAGATGCAAGAGATTAAGCATTTATCCATTGTTGGTGCCAAATTTTTTTAAAGCACTAGTTATAAGAGGCATGAGGAGAAAGGACAAACTTGAGAAATAAGATAGGAATTTATCTTAAATATTATCCTTACAAGTTGGGGCATACAATTTATAAATACTGTGAAATATTGAAGATGATAATACTTCATGTCGATATGCCTGTAGATGAGATGAGCATTATCATACAATGTTGGAGGGAACATTAATTGGCATAAACTCTCTGGAAGGCAATTTAGTCATATCAATAGCCTTATAAATATTTATAGCTGTTAACTCAGTGATTTTACTTCTAAAATTCTGTGTGAAGCTAGCACTATCAGATAAGCACATGAATATTGATGTACATGGATTTTAATTGCAGTGTTATTTATAAGTATGAAAAATAGAAACAATTTAAATATCTAACAACAGAGAGATTTAATTCATGATGTGTCTATGTGATAGAATATGATGTATCAACTTTAATGATTTTGGAAAATACTTGAGATAAATTTAAGTTAAAAAAGAATAGAAAATGGTATGCAATTTGATTTCTATTTTGTAGAAGAAAGCAAAAGAATTTTATCCATGGAAAAATGCTGGAAGAAATACACTTTATGCTAATAGTGTTTAACTTTGAGTAGTGGGATTAAGAGTAATTTTAGTTTCTTAATATTTCGTTGGTATATTTTCTAAGTTCTTCAGTGAGTATGTACTACTTTTAAAATTAGAGAATTATCAAAGAAAAGTAAACTATGTAGTTGAATTCCAAAGGTGGAGTTTGGGAAAATTTTAATTGGCTTTATGCTATTTCTAGTCCACTTGGGGAACATTTAGGACTGTACCAAGTACTGGGTAAGGCTCCACCAAGTGTATCTCATTTGCTTCTTACTATAAGACCCAGAGGTAGATACTATCAGTACCCTCATCTACAGATGAATAAACCCTTCAGAGAAGGTAACTTGACCAAGTCTATAGAGCCAGAATGTGGTGGTGTTAGGATTTGGACCTGGGTTTCTTTCCAAAGTCAGTAATTAGGAATACAGACTGTTGAGTGGTTGAAATATAATTGGATCTGGAGAGAGAGTATTCCAATGGCAAAGTGTAGTCAACAATCTTGTTTTTTACCTGATGGCTTGAGAAAGATCAGGATTGAGGTATGGCATTTGCCTTGTGAATGGTCCAGGTGTGAGGTTCAGCTTTGTAGCTTAATCATATCAAGTTATTGACAGGGATCTGGAAGAAGTGAGGGTAGCCTGAAGCAAGCGTAGGAAGCAATAGGGTAAGAAGCAATAAAATAAGAGCCACAGAACTTGCCTTGTATCAGTGACAATATTCTCACTCCCACATTACACACTCTTGTTACCTCTACATTCCAATCCAGCTTGCGTAGAGATGCTGGTTTATCTGCTGAAACACCTCTTTGCTCTCTTCTTCCATTTATAAAAACCTGAAGACGCCCTTTATAAATTGGGGACAGATGAAACTGCTTAATCCAGACCCCAAGGTCCTGCCTATGTCTTCCTTTTTCTCCCTCCTGCTTTTTCTTTCTCAAGTGAGGTTTATTTCATTTTTTGCAATTAGAAAACCAATAAAATATAGAGAAATAGAAAGTAGAAAAAACATATTACTAAACTCTTTCACCCAAGAAATCATTTTGACATTTGGTTTTCATTTAGGGTTTTTATGTTGATTTTCAAGTGTTTAGTTTACACTGTTTCATGTCTCTGGTTCAACTTTCCATTCTCAACTTTCCATTCTCATCTCTTCCATTCTTCCATTCCACATAAATTGGCTTATAGCGTGTGCAATGCCTCCTGAATAGCCAAGCTCATACCTGTTAATTTCAGTCATTTTCCCCGCATTAAATTCCTCTTCCACTCTTTCCGTCCTTTAACTCTTCCTCTGTGAAGCCTTCTCCAACCACTTACACCTCTTTTCTGACTTTCTATGGCATCTCCCTGGCCCTCGATCGTACTTTGTGTTCTGTTGTTACCGAACCTTTCCTGCATGTGTATCTTGTCTTTTCACCCAGATTCCTAGGACAGGGTTGATAGGGCCTTCCTCAGAAGGGCCTCTCAGGAGACCACCTACAGGGTAGGCCCTCAGTAAATAATTACCGAATGAGTAAACGTTTTTAACGGCCTAAGCTCATAGCTTACATTCATTGCTGTACATAAGAGAAAATGTAAGAATAGTCCCTATTGCTAGTACGTAACTCTTAAAAAATTTTTTTATTGATAGGTGCAGGACTATTTCTTTAGAAACTGGAGCTCAGAATATTCAGATGTGCGTCACCATGCTCCAGCTATCTTTCACTGCCAAGGATTTGGTCCAGATGCTTAGCTTCCCATTGGCCTATGGACTCTTCCAACTGTTGGATGGATTTCTCATTGTTGCAGGTGGGTAGAGCCCCTATTGGGTAGACTTGATTGAAAATTGTCGACCTAACTCACCAACCCCTTTTTCAAACCGAACATACGTGTGCTGCCCTTGTGATACATTTTTAGCCTGCCATTTCGGAGGAAAATAAAGTGCATAAACAAGCTCCTTTGCCACAGTGGAGGTTTCACAGGAAAATATAAATAACCATGTGAAAGTGAGCTTATAGTTATAAACAAATATGCTTCACAAAAAACAATCACTATCAGAGCTTAGATTCCAGTACTTGGTAAGTCTCCATGAGCAATCAGTTATTTCAAAAATGATATTTGTTATGTTTCATCAAAAGCCTTGAGGTGATCCAAATGCCAAGTTATTTCACAGTGCTTCTGTGACTAAGAATTGTGCTGAATGGCTGTGAAATATTTTTCAACTGTGTGTGTATATATATGCTTACCTATTCATACAGCCAAATATATATCATTTTGGAGTCAGTCATTATGTAGGTTCACAGAAAGCAAATTAAAAAATAGATATATAGGTATGAATACACACATATATATATTTTAATCTTGGGCCATTGTAAATTTTTACTACTCTCAGGGAACAGGTTCTGAGTAAGGCTCAATGATTACTGATATACCTGACTTTATACTGATTACTGATTATTATGTATATACTGATTGCTGACATAACAATCAGTATAAGTAATATGGGGGGTTTAATTTTCCCATAAGATAAGAGAAATTGTAGCAGAATAAAACTCCTGGTCTTAGATCCAAGTTTTAATTCCTTCTCATGGTGAGACTGTGAGGGACAGAACATGTCTGACTCACTCCCAGCTATCTCCAGCACCCAGGAACAGTAAACACTTTAGAAGGAGTTGTAGTAACTCCTAGTAAGAGTAACTTAACAGTAGTAATGACTGTACTGTTACTGTAGCAACGACTGATAGTAAGCGCTTTAGAAGGAGTCGCTGACTGACTGACTGACTGATTGAATGAATGAATGAATGGATGGATGAGCCGTCAGCAATCTGACAAGTCTCAATCACAAACGGTCCATTCCAGACACAGATAGATAGCTGTTTTGATACACTGAATTATTTTGTTCCACAGTTTTCTCTCTTTTTCTCTCTTCTTTTTTCCTGTGTGTTTACACATATGTGACCTAAAGCAAACAAACCCCAAAGTACTGACAAGTATACACTGTCACCAAATCACAGTCTTTGCTAAAGTGAATTTTAATACTTGTGTGTTTTAACACCTAGCATATAAGATGTACAAGACGAGATTGAAGAGCAAAGACAGAAGAAAGAGTCCGGGTCGTGCACAAGTCTGCCATAAGAAGTCCACTTCTCCCAAAGAGACCAGCGCTTTCTTGGAGGTGAATGAAGAAGCCGCCGTGACTCCCGGGCCGTCAGGGCCGGTGGAGCTCCACACAGCTCTTGGGCCGACCGGCTGCCTCTCTTCTCGTGCATAGTGGGGTGCTGGCCTGACTGGTCCCCGGCTTCCTCAGCGGCCAGTAAACACTGTGCAGAGCTGACGAGTGAACCTTGTTGGCAGGGCCTGTGGGAGTATTTGACTGTCAGATGTTAGAATATTTATATTTTTATGTGGATTGTGAATTGTCATAGGATCTCTTTTCCCAGATGTGTTCCGCCTATTTCAGGGAATGCTTTCAGGGTTTTACACAACATATTTACTAGCTGCTCTGTGTGTTCCTCTCTTCGCATGCGGTGAAGAGTCATGCCCATTGTCAGGTGAAGTCGTCCTCACATTGTGAATTTTAATTTCTCAAGAGTTAGGACTCTTTTGTAGAGGAGATGTTACCCCACACTGCAGGGCAAGGACAGAGTCTGGACCCACTTGACTTCTTGACTTTGGGCAAGTCCTTTGGTGCATCGAGAAGGAAGCAAACAGCTCTTATAAAAAATGGGCTCTTTTCTCAAATGATTGATTTTTTTAGGGGCTTGAAAATCTTTTTGGATTATAGATGTAATACAAGTTTAGAGAGAATTTAATGAACACTTGAGGTTAAAAAGTGAATGCCCCGTATTTTTACTCCCCAGAGATAAGCACATGTATATTCTTCTGCTGTGTGTTTATATGTTATATTGGTTTCTTATTTTAAATTTTATTTATTTATTTTTTCCCCCAAAGCCCCAGTAGATAGTTGTATGTCATAGCTGCACATCCTTCCAGCTGCTGTACGTGGGACGCGCCCCCAGCATGGCTGGAGAAGCGGTGTGTTGGTGCGCGCCCGGGATCTGAACCCGGGCCACCAGCAGCGGACGCACGCACTCAACTGCTAAGCCACGGGGCTGGCCCTTTTATATTGTTTTAAAAACACTGAGATCATTCCACATACGCTGTTTAGTAAGTCACTTAATGACATATTAGGGAGCATCTTTACGTGTCAGTCTGTGTTGACCTACCTCATTCTTAGAACAAGGGCTTTGTAGAAGTATTCCATTGCATGGAAGGACTGTAATTTATTTAACCATTCCTTATTCACGAACGATTAGATAGCTTTCAACTTATTGATATTACAATGCTGCTACAAACACCCATGCCCTTGTGCAAGTATTTCTGTAGGATCACTTCCTAGACTTGAATTGCCAGGCCAATTGCACATTAAAATGTTGGACAGATTGCTCTCAGTAATGTTGTATAGCAGTGCCCGAGAGGGCTGGCTTCCCAGTTGCACCAGGCTGAAAAATGATCAGTTCTGATTTGTGAAATATCTCATTTAAAATTGCATTTTTTTTAAAAACTATGAGTAGGGGCTGGCCCAGCAGCGTAGCAGTTAGGTTCGCGTGCTCCGCTTCGGTGGCCCAGGGTTTGCAGATTTGGATGCCAGGTGCGGACCCCATGCACCACTTGGCAAGCCATGCTGTGGCAGCGTCCCATATAAAGTAGAGGAAGATGGGCACGGATGTTAGCCCAGGGCCAGTCTTCCTCAGCAAAAAGAGGAGGATTGGCAACGAATGTTAGCTCAGGGCTAACAATCTTCCTCACACACACACAAAAAAAATTATGTGTGAAGTAGAGTATTTTTCATAATCACTTGCCTTTTCATATCCTTTGCCTGCCTTTCTATTGGTTTTTTCCCTTTTCAATTGATAAGTTTTAATACGTTATGGATAGTGACCCTTTGTCCTATGTTTTGTCAAGATTTGACCTACTCTTTTATCTTTTGTTTTTCTATAATGTCTTTTGCTGTACAGAAGTTTTATATTTTTTACATATTCAGCTTTATTAGTCCTTTTAACAACGTTTTTTGACCTTGATATCTGTCAAATGTTAGAATATTTATGTTTTTGTGAGTTGTGAAAGGATCCCTTTTTGAGAATGTATTTGGCCCGTATTCAGAGAGTTCCTTGGGGGTTTACACAGCATATTTACTAGCTGCTGTGTGTACTGCCTGACAGTAGGTAAAACCCATCCTTCTCTATTCTTACATTACTAAAAAGATTTCCCATATATTTTTCTATTACTTGATGGACTAAATATCTACATGTTTATTCCATTTTGAATTTATTTTTCTGTATAATGTGTTAAGAATCTAATTTTTTATGGTTAATTGTCTCAACATCGTATATTGAATCAGTCATCTTTTCTCAACTGATTTGAAAGGCCACCTTTATCACATAACTTCCGATATAATGTGTTTTTCTTGGGACTCTATTTGGTTTCATTTTTTGTTTATTCGTATTTGTAAGTTTTCAAATGTGTGAGGAAGTGTATCATCTGAGATTTGGTGCTTTACAATTTTATTTTGTAAGTATTCCCCAGAACTTGTGGGTTAATATCATGACGACTATTATGGTATTTTTCCAACAATTATGAACGCCTTTGTGGTAGTACAGAAAGAGCCCCATTAGGGGTCACAAGTAAATTTATATGGAAAAGAACTATGCAGACTTGTGACATGATTGTTAATTCTCAACTGCTGCTTTATTTTTGGGGATTCCTATTTATTCACCTGGTAAGTGTGTATGGATTGAGAAGCTGGTCTGTGCCATGTGCAGACACACGGGACGTGCAGCAGTAACAAGGCAGGAACGGTTCCGCCCTCACAGTTCTAGTGGGGAATAGATCACTGCAATGAACACAGTAGAGTTGTGTGTTAACAGAGATTCCAGTTCTAAAATGAGCGTTACCACGAGTTTTAAAGAAACCACAAAAAATGAATTTCTAAATTGATTCTCTACATAGGCACCTAACAAAAAATGGTCAAATCCAATGCTCTGTTCTGAAAGCATTAACTAGGGGCCGGCCCGGTGGCGCAAGTGGTTAAGTGTGTGCGCTCCGCTGCGGCGGCCCGGGGTTCGCCAGTTCAGATCCTGCGCGCACCGACACACCGCTTGGCAAGCCATGCTGTGGCAGCGTCCCATGTAAAGTGGAGGAGGATGGGCACGGATGTTAGCCCAGGTCCAGTCTTCCTCAGGAAAAAAAGAGGAGGATTGGCAGATGTTAGCACAGGGCTGATCTCCTCACACACACACACACACACACACACACACACACACACACACACAAAATAAATAAATAAATAAAAAAGAAAGCATTAACTGCATGGTCAGTATTTATCACAGTCAGGACAAGTCTGGGAACAGGGCTACCAAGAGCCATCCTTTAAGCCAGAAACCATACAAATTCAAGGTAAGAGTTTGAAAGTAGTCGTGTCAGAGGACTGACATCTCCAGAGACAGTTCCTAAATGTGTTACTGAGAAGAACTGGAAATAATCAAGTTGTCCAGGAGGCCACACGTTATCTTTAGGATGAAGAATGTAACTAAAAAAAAAAGCTCTAACTGAATTGTATTCTAACTGATCTAAATAATCATGAATTCATAAAAGCCAGGGCCTATGTGATGCTCAGAAGAAATGAGGCCAGAGAATTAACATTAAGCAGAATGAGTCCAGCTATATCTGGAAAAGAGCCAGCTAGAGCGTTGAGGCAGTATAGTGTAGTGGAAAGAGTACGGTCTTTGCAGGGCTCCCTGTATCCCACTTAATGAGCTAGGACACCTGGGGAGTTGTGGGTTGAAGTCAGGCAGACCTGGAATTGAGTCCCAGTTCTGTTATTTGGGCAACCTTGGGCAAGTGATAATCTCTCTGGACCTCAGTTTCCTCTCTTAAAAACGATAATGGCATTCAATCCTAAACACCCTGAAAAGTGGGCAATATGAAAACATCTGATACGATGCATGCATGCATATGAAAGTGATCATAGTGTTCTGTCCCCTTCTCTTTCCTTTCGCAGTCACAATTGGGCCTCTTGTAGAAAGGGTAATTCAGCCTCACCCGGTTTAATGAATCACATCTTAGCAACCTTCTGACCAGCATTTATGTGTACTGTACCCACCTGGAGGAGCCCTGCCTGGACATCCAGCTTACTCATTCTGCTAGACACAGCTAAGCTAAAAAATTGGCAACATGGTTTATCAGCAAGTGTCCCGAGAGTCTGCTTAGCTTGACCTTTAAAATATAGCTAATTTTGGGTGAATGAATAAAATTATGTTTCTAAACTTGCAAAGCTGAAGACTACTTTCAAATCTGTGACTCTCTTTTCAACAGTTACGAATTCAGATACTTCTGGGGTCAGGAAAATCTTGAAATATTGACACAGTGTTAGCTAATAAGGAATGGTGGAAACTGGCAGAAATGGAAAGGCACACACGGCTTGCTGCTACCCAATGTCCATTGTTTCCTTTGACCTTATTAACAGAACTAAGATTTTGTTCAGGACAGCAATATGCCTAGCTAAAAATAACTTCATTGGAGATAGAGAGGGATATGTGACACAATTGTTGCTAATAAGATATAAGTGGAAGTCTGCTTGTGATTTCTGGAAAATTTTGCTTTCTTGCCCTAGGCACTGACTGATCCTTTCTCCTTGTCAAGTCCTCCTAGTTCCTTTCTGGACTGTGGATGTAATAGCTGGAACTGCAGCAGCCATTTCCAGACCATGAAAGGAAGGCCAGGATAATCAGACATCTGTTGACATTCTTGAACTGCAGAATAAGTCCCAGCAACTGCTTACTTCTGAACTTGTGTTCTTAATGAAAGAAAAGAAATCTCTAATGTGTGTAAGTCTGTTTGGTTGGTTTTTGGTTACTTGCAGTCAAATGCAATGCCAAATTGATATGTTAAAATTTAAATTGGCTTTAAAATACTATGCAGGTCAATGCATAATTAGTTATGTTTATCTCCACCATAACAAGGTACCTTGAGTATTTCTGAATTATGTAAAAGGGGAACATGTTCTCACACTGTCAAGGTATTTATGACCGGAAGATAGTTTCAGTGAGCTGTTCTTTTTAATTTCTTCAATTTATCACATTGCATTTAGATAACTAGTCATTTTAAAACCAAGAGATCTAGCAAGCTACCTGGAACCACAGGTGTGAATACCTGATCTTTTCTCAACAGCCATTTCTCTCCTTTTTATCATGATAATTCAGAACTATTTCTACCAATGACATCTACAAAAGTTTTGATTTGGGGACAAAATGATGTTTCTAATCCTGCAATGTTCAGGACTTTACTAAGATACCATTCTTTTAGCATATACAACTTTAGTTCAGTTGTATAAATAGATTCCATCACGATTTATGCTTCCCTTTCTATAGCACAGAGCTGTCTGTCAGGGAAAACAGCTGCTCAGCCAGCTCATTCCCAGCTTCCTTGTTCTCAGGGGCACGGTTTGGCCGGTTCTGGCAGATGGAATGAGTGGCA